TTGTCTGATACAAGTACTGCAATTCCTGCTTTTTTCTCCCTATTAGTTGCATGAAATATCTTTTTCGTTCCCTTCATTTTTAGACTGTGCATGTCTTTGGGTTTAAAGTGAGCCTCTTGTAGGCAGCATATAGGTTGGTCTTGTTTCTTTATCCATTCAGTGACTCTGTGTCTTTTGATTGGTGCATTCAGTCCATTTACATTTAGGGTAACTATCCATAGGTATGTACTTATTGCCTCTGCAGGCTTTAGATTTGTGGTTACCAAAGGTTTAAGGGTTAACTTCTTTACTGTCTAAGAGTCTAACTTAACTCACTTAATATACTATTACAAACACAATCTAAAGGTTCCTTTTTATTTTTTTTCTCCTCCTTTTTCTTCCTCCTCTATTCTTTATATATTAGGTATCATATTCTGTTCTCTTTGTCTATCCCTTGATTAACTTTGTGGATAGTTAATTTAATTTTGCATTTGCTTAGTAATTAGCTGTTCTACTTTCTTTACTGTGGTTTTATTACCTCTGTTGACAGCTATTAAACCTTAGGAACACTCCCATCTATAGCAGTCTCTCCAAAATACACTGTATAGGTGGTTTGTGGGAGCTAAATTCTCTCAGATTTTGCTTATCTGTAAAAGTTGTTTAATCCCTCCTTCAAATTTAAATGATAATCTTGCCAGATAAAGTATTCTTGGTATCGAGGCCCTTCTGCTTCATTGCATTAAATACATCATGCCATGCCCTACTGGCCTGTAAAGTTTCTGCTGCGAAGTCTGATGATAGCCCGATGGGCTTTCTTTTGTATGTGATCTTGTCTCTCTGGCTGTTTTTAATAGTCTGTCCTTATCCTTTGTCTTTGCCATTTGAATTACTATATGTCTTGGTGTTGTCTTCCTTGGGTCTCTTGTGTTGGGAGATCTGTGTACCTCCATGGACTGAGGAACTATTTCCTTCCCCAGATTGGGGAAGTTTCCAGCAGTTACCTCCTCAAAGACACTTTCTATCCCTTTTTCTATCCTCTTCTTCTTCTGGTACCCCTATAATGCAAATATTGTTCTGTTTGGATTGGTCACACAGTTCTCTCAATATTCTTTCATTATTAGATATCCTTTTTTCTCTCTGTGCCTCAGCTTCTTTGTATTCCTCTTCTGTAGTTTCTATTTCATTTATGGTCTCCTCTACCATATCTAATCTGCTTTTAATACCCTCCATTGTGCTCTTCAATGATTAGATCTCCAACTGGAATTCATTCTTGAGTTCTTGAATATCTTTCTGTACTTCCATGAGCACGTTAATGATTTTTATTTTAAATTGCATTTCAGGAAGATTCATGAGGTTGATGTCATTTAACTCTTTCTCAGAAGTTGTATTAATAATTTTACTTTGAACCTGTTTCCTTTGGAGTTTAATATTTGTATTTGGCATCCTCTAGTGTCAGGAAGTTCTACTCTCTGGAGCTTCTCAGCCTGGGAAGCAATATCCAGGGTTGCAAGGGAGTGATATTGCTGCCTGCGGGGAGGAAAGAGCTGTTTCCTGCTCATTGGTTGCTTTGCCTGTCTCCAGTGCCTCAACCAGTGGGCCGAGCACACCAGTATAAGCCTCTATGCTTTGTGTTTGTAGTTGCTGTAGACAGATTTTTCACTCTGGCTGGCCTCATGCCAGGGTAGGGTTTGGTTTGCAAGCCAGGTGGGGCTGGCCAGTAGAAAGGCGCAGTAGGCTGCGTATCACAGAAGGGGTCCTTGGAGCTGTGTAGCCAGCCAGGGAGCTGGAGCACCTGGAGATCGTGAAAGCTCCCAAACTGATGGGCAGAGTGCACCCAGACAATTTTGTCTACCTGTCCTTTCTCCTGAGCAGTAAGCTCTGTGCAATCCTTGCGCCTTTAGCAGCCTCCCTCTTGCTAAGGGCTTCCTTATTAGGATGTCTCTCAGTCTTCCCGCCTTTCTTTTGTCCCAGAGCAGCCGGATATGGATCCCTGCTTTCCACGAGCAGCTGGAATCTCAGTCTCTCCAGGAATTCTACCTGTCTTAGGTTTCCGACTCCCTAATCACAAGAGTACCATGCAAGCACCATGAAATGTAGGTTTGTGCTCCCAGAGAAGATCTCCGGAGTTAGGCATTCAGCAGTCCCAGGCCTCCACTCCTTCCCCGCTCCATTTCTCTTCCTCCCACCTGTGAGCTGGGGTGGGGGAGGGGCTTGGGTCCTGCCCAGCCACAGCTTTGGTATGTTACCCTATTCTGTGAGGTTTATTCTTTTCTTCAGGTGTTTGCCATTTGGTGTCATCCTCTTTCCTGTTGCTCTTTCAGGATTAGTTGTATTAATTATATTTTTGTATTATATGCAGTTTTAGGAGGAAGCCTCTGTCTCACCTCTCACACCACCGTCTTTAATCCAATTTCTGAAACTCACTATTTTTAAGATTTGAGATGACAGGAAATTTTTGCAATAGCTCCATCAAATGGGAAGTATACAAAATATTTGCCTTTTAAACATAAAAATGCAGGAAATGAAACACAACTATTCCTTTATTGTTAGCTCATTTTCCCAGTCTTTTAATGACACTGTCTAACTAAAATGGGATAGTATTATTCTCTCTTCAATAGTTTTCATAGCCATAGTTCTCTCTGCCATTTGAGGAAATCTCAAGATTAGCAATAGGGGGTTTATCAATAAAAGATTCTTCTCCTCTCCCTACCCTCAAAACCATAGAGTTGGACTCTAAGAGAATATATTATTTTTGCTTGTGTGTATGGAGTGGAATCATCAAAATTAAATCTTTAGCAACATTTTCTCCCTGGAGTGTGAGCATTTTGAACTTATTTGGAGGATTTCAACATAGGAGTGTTAAAAATATTGGACATTTGTAGGAGTTATTACCTTTATTGCAAAAACTGGGGCAGACAATGAAAAGATATATTTAATTAATTAGAAGGAAGAAGTAAATACTAATGTTCATACTAACTTCAATTAGATGTTGTTTCCTGAGAAGCTAACACATGATATGTTACTTGGTTTTGTTTTGTTTTTCTAAAGTAGAACAGGTTTCAAGTCTTGAACTGGTCAAAAATGGGAAAAATAAAAGATTGCAGTTTGGAATCTCTCTTCCCTTAAATTTCAAATACATAAATTTTGCATAAAACTTTACTCAAACAATTAACATACCTAATAAAATTTTGAGTCACCGACTTCAGCCATTTGCAGCAACTGTAGGAGTGGGAGAAATGAAAAAAAATTCCTTACATGTTTTCCTCCCACTGCCTTTCTTCCTGGTAAAGGTCACAATTTTGCTTTATGATAGACTGGGTTATAGATTGTTGGAGCGAAGAGAGACTTTTCAGTCATCTAGGCTCACTTTCTTGATCTATGTAGAAAAGGAAACTGAGACCCAGAGAATTTAAATTACTTGCCCAAGGTCACAAAACCAAAAATAAAGAGATAGGATCTAGACAATACAGAGCAAGGGAGAGTCTTCTCTGTTAGTTACTTTTTGTGGTTGTTTAGTTTGCTTAGTTTTTGTGTTGGCTTAGTTCAAATATGTTAGCCCTGTAAGACATTAATTTGGGTAAGTCAGCTAAAAATACTTGTACTTGTTTCCCAATATAACAAGGATAAGAAAAAACAATCTAGAGCATAGGAATGAAAAGAGAAATGGCCCACAGAACAAGTGAGACACAGCATATGTGCTTTGGTTTTTAAGCCTCTGGGCCAAAATCACACTTATGATCTTGGTAACTAAAAAGAATCTTGTTCCTGGAATGCTTGTAGAAACCTGAATTAGTCATAAGCCTCTTAGGAAAGAATTCATCCTTTGTTTGATACTGAAATGATTCTTAATCAGAAAGTCAAGCAAGCCTTTTTTATTGTTATGGGTCTAGTCATATAGCACTTGTCAGTGTAACAAATCCCTTTGAACCTTTGACTAGAGAACCATCTATTTTGAATGATTTTAGTATGGACTTGATGATCTCATGAGGTCTCTCCCTGTTCTATCATTCTTTCCCTATTGGTGCCAGCACAACAAACCTCACATGCTTGTTTCTGGGAATTTGAGTAGCTAGCAATGATAGAATTTCTAATTGTACACTTAATTCTACTGGGAAATAACAAAAGTTTATTCCAGAATATTGCTAGATTCATTATTCTAAAAGCTTTAAATGAGAAGGACTCAAATGTCAATATCCAGGACAAAACAAATCCAATGAAGTGATGTATCAAATATTTGCACCTTCTGATAACTTAAGTGGTCAATCTAGCTTCTGGTTTTCCTTCTACCCAATTCCTGCCTCCTTCACCCCCACCCCAAATCTGTTACTGCCTGTAGCCAGAGGATAAACATTCCTTTCTAATCTTTCACAGGTAGGAGACTGACCAAAAGCTCCATTCTGTCCTTAATTAAAGTTTTCCATTTTGCTAAAAGATAGGAAGCACTCTACCTTTACATCTGAAGTCTCTAGGAACAAATTTATCTTGATATTACATTAAAATACAACATTCAAAATAATATCTGGCATCTTCTTGACATTCCAGAGGCATTCTTGAAGTAAGTGATGGCAAAAGTAGCTAAAAATGGTGAAGGAAATTACAGAAGTGTTTGACTGTCATCCAAAAGATTCTAACAGGAAAATTTCCCTCTACCCTACAAGCATCTAAAGGCTTTGTACCAAAGAATGCTAAAGATTTTAACTGGCTGGCAAAATACATAGCAGGTGGCAAAATATTTTGACTTGGTAACTGAACATTTTCTTTTTATGCACATACTTGACCATTTTATAAGCAAAAATAATTAGAAAACAGAAAAATCAGTGATAATTTACATATAAAATATATTGTATTTGAAAACAGCAAAATTCTTCAATTTTTCATACAAAGCTCTACGAAACTCAAATCCTGATACCCTGGACTCGCCTGGTGCCTCCCTGCCATACTGAAATACTGTGAATAATCCTTTATGCTTACTCTTATGAATCAACATGAAATTTGACAAGACTTTCCCTTCCTCATTTCAGATACGACTCACTGCTCTTGGTGTAATCCCCAAGGACCAGAAGCTCTACTTTAAAGTAAGGAAACAAAAGAAGCACCTTTAATTCAAGCTGGTTTACTCAGAGAACTCTAATAGTAACTATTCACTGACTTAAGTTCACATTGTAAAACTGAGTGCTTGAAGTGTCCTCTCTAACTTTCCCTGGGGAAACCAATGTTGAAAAGCTGGAGAGGTAACCTGACTGATAAGTGTTAGACTTGAAGTTTATCAGCATTCTACTTAAACCATTCATTATCTCTAGGTTGCTATTGAATTTTAGCTTTGGGAGCATTTTATTTTATTTTCAAGATTGTGGATCATCTTCCCTCCAGACCCCTCTGATCTTGTATGCAAAAAATAATAGATCTGAGCTATTTCTTAAAAACCTTTATAATTTTAAAACTTGATCCCTTTTTCTGTGGCATATAATCACTACCCCACCTCCCACTGTTTCTCAGACTTAGAAAATGCTGTAGAGCTCAGTTCACTACAGAAATCTTAAATCATCTAGAGATGCCTATGGTTTTTCAAATACTGAAATAAGAAGGAAAAAAAAGAACATAGCACTCTAAGTAAAATTCTACTTACCCTTACATGAAAACAGGGAAAAATAAATAAAAAGCTCAGGCCCCTTTACTTTTCCAAATCCTAGAAACATCTAAGTCCCAAGAGAAACTGTTTCTTGGTTTAGAAGATGAGAAAAGTTTAAGTTAAACAATGATACTTTTTCCATTTCTTAAAAAAAGGCCAGCAGAAGCACATGCTCTGCTGGACAAATTGTTTCAGCAGATGTTCATTGTCCCAAGGAGAAAACAGCGCCTACTCTGAAGCTTAGCACTTGCAAATTTAGGGACTTAAATACTTTTAACTTGAAATGGTCCACATGTTATGAATGAGCTGTAAATATTAAAATAATTTATATGAGCAAGTAGTTGCATTTTACTACTAAGTCCACAGAATGCCAGTAATTGTTTTGTCACGATATGGTGATGCAGTGATTATTGCCCATCTGAGATTTTCAAGCTTCTGTATTTTTTTTACATTTACAATGGCACCCTGAAATAATATTAATAATTATAATAACATTTACAGAGTATTTACAATGTACCAAGCACTCATACTTATCCTATGAGCTAAGTACTATTAATATGCCTATTTTAAAATGTGTAAACTAAGGTTAACAAAGGTTAAGAGACTTACCTAAATCACAGATCCTAGAAGAGGTTGTATTGGCATTTGAATGTAGGCAGTTTGTAGTCAAACTAACCCAGGGGTTGTCAAACCTTTTCTGTAAAGCACTAGGTAATAAATATTTCAGGCTTTATAAGCCATAAAGTCTACGTTGTAGCTACTCAACTCTATTTACAGAACAAAAGCAGCCAAAGACAAATAAGTTAATGAGTGAAGGTGGTTTGTTACGAATAACTTTATATATGAACACTGAAATTTGAATTTCATAAAATTTCATGAGCCACAAAGTACTATCTTTCTTTGGATATTTTTTTCAACTGTTTAAAACGTAAAAACAATTCTGACCCCATGGGTTGTACAAAAACATGTGGCAGGCTGGATTTGACCCACAGACTAGTTGTCACCCCCTCCTTAAGGCTCTTAATGAACATATTGTTTTTCTAATAGTGTCTTTTTATAATGTTTTCTTAAGTAGCTAATAGAACTGTATTTACGTTCTAGCATTATCAAATTGTCAGACTTTTATCGTATAAAATTATGTTCTGGGAAATAAGACGTTTTTTATATTATATAATTTAGGCTGAATCATATGCAATTTGCCAATATTGAACAGTTTGACCTTTAAAAATGGCAATTTTATGTGTTTCAACATACTTTTATAAATGTCTGTCACTTTAGTAGGTAACATTTTTTAGTGCTATTAAAGCATAAGTTAGTGACCAGGGGGACATTATATAAACAATTCAAGCATAAGATATGTAACACACAAGATGATCTTTAAGGTTTCTTTGAATTTTTTCTATGAAGTGAATTATAGTATATAATATGAAATGAATGAGAGTATATAGTATGAAATGAAAATGAAAATGAAAATATAATATGAAATGAAATTATAATCTAGGACTGAAGTTATAAACAGGAATATATTATTACATAATTTAACTGTGACAGGTACTGAACTGTATTTTCTCTTAATTTCCATAATGATACTATGAAATAAGTATCTTTACTCAGTTCATGATTGAAGCAATCTAGGTTCTTGGAGCCTAGGTATACTGGCTGAATTCAGATCACTAATAGATGGCAAAGCATGGGCTTGAACAAAGAAGAAAAGACTATTCTGCTCACACAACAAAGGCAATTTCACTGCACTATGTCAGCACCACTAAGACTTTTATGATACAACTTATTTTTCAAATTCATCTCTAGAAAACAGTAGTAAGCCATGTTAGAATTTCTCTCATTGTCAGTAAACTCCAGAAAATATACTCACATAACTTTTGAACATTTTTATAGCCACATTTATATTTTCTTTTGTATAATTTATTTATACCAATAACCCCCTAATTGGATAAGATTTCAATTTGTTTTTACATGGAAAAGAAGAGAAAGATGGGAATCATAGGTTTTGGTAAATGCAATCTTAACAAGCTGATGATTACTTAAAACTCGTAAGATTATAAAGTCTGAGAATTTTAGAGTATTAAATACTTTTTTCACATTTTAATCTATCAGTTCAACATTTAACTCCCATATATAATAAGAAACAATTCTGTACATACAAAGAAAATAAGCATTAGGGGAGGAAAGAAACTACAAAGTAAAATTGAAAGAATATCTAGATCAGAACACTGAAATTAAAATACGTTGCCACATTTACACTTCTCATTCCCTACCTAAAGAAGAAACCAATAACCTCATAAATGACTCTTGAGGAATAAATTATAAAATAGGTAAGAATTTCTAAAGAATTTACCAGAGACAGCCACCAGAGGAAAAGAATCACTCCACGGTATAGACTGGAAAGATATATTACTGCTCTTTCTCTCTTTTTTTTTCCTTTTCCCTTTCTTTTCTTTCCTTTTCTCCTTTTTTCTTGGCATAGCAAATAAAATAAATTTCAGGTGTGACTGGCCTCTTTTCTCACAATTTTCCACCTTGTCTTTTTCCCCCTAAATGCCAACTTGACTAGTCTTACTAACATTATTTCAATTCATCAGATATTCCATGTCCCTTCTTTCAAATTACTTCAAAGTCAGTGTTCTAGAATGCATAGCAAGCGAGGTAAAAACAGAGACATCTGCCAGAAAATGAAGTTCATAAATTAATGAAAATCAAGAAAAGGTTCCTGGCAAGCCCCAAGAAATAACAGGCTTACATGAAAAAAGAAAAGTATGAACAAACTTTTGCAACCATTTAGAAGCACCAGACTCTGTTGCTACTGTTTTGTTTCTAACATAGTATAGACTAAGATAAAAAATGGTTGAAGGAAAGGGGATTTGGGATCTTGTGATCCACTAGACCATAATCACTAGAAATGCAGGATTTGTGTCTTACTGCTGAATATCCAACATAAAACTGTTTCTGGAACATGAATAAATGAATAACATGAATGACTGTTTCTGGTACTCCATAAATATTTATAGAATGAATGAATGATTATTGAAGAGTGACTTTGAACATGAAATCAGGACCACAGCAATTAAACAGATGACTTTATTTTCTTGCTTAATGGGTCCTTCTTTATCCACAAGTAGAAGCAAGGAGGGAAATGTTCTGCAAGTCATAAAGACAAAGCACTATTTAGTAATAAACGCATAACATGAGCTTAAAGATAAAGTGACCATTGTCATTTTGGCACTGGTAATAAGGGAAAACTTGACAATCCAGTCACATCGTGATTTCTATTTTAAATAGAGATTCTAGAAAGTTCCACTAAAAATTAGGTGTGATCCGAAGGCCAATATTGTAAATAGAAGGACTAGTTCACTCTAAATGAGATACTTCAACTTAATCTTATACTTGACTGGGTTTCTTGGGTTATAGATCAGAGTAATACTATAAGTACAGTGTATCTTGATTGCTACAAAGGGTTTGACAAATATTCTTTGTCATGAGATCTCAGATTGTTCTGAACATAGAAATTCTAACCCATCATCATGCATTTAGCCATGACAAGGCATGTGAAACCTTTTAAGCAGGGTTTCTCAATCTCAGCATTGTTAACTTCTGGAATCTGATACTTCTCTGTTGTGGGGCGTGTCCTGTGTATTGTGCAGTGTTAGGCAGCATCCTTGTCCTCTACACACTTGATGCCAGGAGTACCCTGCCCCCTCTGCTATCAGGACCAAAAAATACCTTCAGACATTGCCAAATTGACAACTGCTCAAAAAGAAGGGAGAGAAGAGACAGCATTCTTAGGTTTTAGAAATGCTTTATAAGCAAACATGGACAAAGGAACTTAATAAAAATGATTAAAAAATCATGTCATTGCAGTTGAGGAGTTAAAAATCCCAGTTTAACATAATAATTAAGGACAAAAGAAAGGAATGTCTCTCATGGCTTATCAGAGCAAGATAAAGTTTGGTGCTGCTAATTGTGTATACAGAAGCAATAGGACAATTAAAATTACTAAAATATTTTATGTGTGTCTTCTGCATTCAGGCAAACAACCTTCTAGTATAGAGACAATCTTTAGGTAATAAGGAGAATGCTTTATTAATTAATATATTATTCTGAATTCCTAAAGCCAGGGAAATTTCATACTAAAATAGTATGATTCAATTAGCAATCAAAGGAACAATGCTTTAGAAACCTTTGAAATGATGAGTTATACCATAAAATAAATAACCCAATTTTCAAAAAAAGAATGGGTGGATGTTAAAAAGTTGATAAGCAATTTAGTAAGGATCCCTGAAATAGTTCTAGAACAATTAAAGAAATGTTGTGCCTGCAAAAAAGAAAAATTAACTGTCACAAACCTTTAGAGTTCACTCTAAATGAGTTACTTCAACTTAATCTTATACTTGACTGGGTTTCATGGATTATACATCAGAGTCATGTCAT